AGCCACTGATGCAAAATTCAGTAGAGTGTTGGTAAGGCAGAGCAGAGTGAGTAGCAGAGTTGGTGTTTAACTATGCAAACAAAGGCATTCAGAAGTAAAACGGTGGTCTTTTCTAGTGGAAACCGAGCATGCGCATGCACATCCCTCGTTTCCCGAGGCGTAGTAGTTAGTTGTTTAGTCTAATTATTAATTACACCTGCGTTGTAATTATTTAATTATTTAATTAGTTGGTTAACTAGTTAGTTAATTCAAGTGTTATAATAATTAGTTAAGTAGCTTAGCTAGTTTATCTATTTCGGTTTGTAATAGTTAGCTTAATTGGCTTAGCTTAGTTAGCTAGTTAGCTTAATTTATTCGAACTCTCCTTCATGAGAGCACAATGTTGTAATAATGTGTATGTCTTCCAACCCAACGTCTTTCTTCCTTTTATTTACCAGCTTATAATGCTTAGATTAGGGACATCACATTTCAATTAGCATATCACATGTTTGCATCCATTTGTATTGCATGCACCGAGGCTCGGTTCATCATTCTAACTGCATTGTTAGTTTCAATACTTCTTTGAATACGTGCTTAGACCGCATGTTATTTACTTGTTTCATATGCCATATTAATAGCCGAGCCTAGTAATTGCATATCACATGTGTTGCATTAGTTATATTGCATAAGTTTGGATCATGCATTTTTTCTAACTTTGTTTTTTTGGCTTAGAGTACTAGGTAAGCTTTTATTAGCTTTAGCATATCACATGAGTGTGATTGTTGCCATATTCAAAATGTTGCCATGAGGCTAACTACTTAAGTGCTATAACTTCTTGAATGCCTATGGATGAAGGCTTATTGCTTGACTTGGAATGATTCAATGAATGTACGTTTAAGCCCACTTTGTCAATTGGCAAATTCACAAACTTTATGCCCACTTTGTTAAGTGGCAAAATCAAACCCCTTTTTTTAAAAAACAAACATGAAATTGAAATGTTCCAATTCTTGTAATTTTAGTATATACTTGTGTGCACATCACATAGTAACGCTAGCTTAATAAACCAGAACAAGAGCATATAACATAGATAAGAATCATATCATGATTAGTAGAGGCCAATCTTTGATCAGGCGAGTGGGGGTGCTCAAATGTATTCATGACCTTCCTCCCTCGTACCTAAGTTCCCGAGCCAAGACAATCTTGATGACAACGGACACGTGCCCTTTAGCACGAGTCATGGGTTTCCTAAATTTTTCCAAAATAAAATATTTAAGTAGTGACTCTGTATCTGGCAAAACAATCCAATTTTGGCATTTTTTGATTCAAAATCAATTTTCCAAATGATTTTCTAAATTTGGACTCTTTGGTGTTTATCTATTTCACATTGCGCTTGTGAGATTAGATTCAGAACCGCAGGAGTCCAAACTGTAGGGCTTATTTCGAGTTTCTGAAAGGGGGGGCAAAAAAGGCAAGCTACACTTTCCTTTATTTTCTATGTACATATTATTATCTGCTGCATTTATTCTCTTAGTCTTTGAAATCTATTTTCTAGCCAAAATTTTTATTACCCAATTCACCCCCTCTCTTGGGTTGCTTTCTTGTATAATACATCTTTTTTCTCAGTAGTTGGTTCGAGCAACCGTCGAGCGTGAAAATCAAGCATCCAGTACTTTTATAGACTTTACAGACCGTTCAAGCGACCAAAGCTTCGCTCGAGCGAACTGCCCTGTTTTAAGAAATTTTGCAGAGTGTTTTAATGTGCATTCTTGCATCCTCAATCCATCTTAGGCATTTCTAAGCCATGATTTTGGCCATATTAATGAGGATAAGAGTTAGAAACACACGTTAAGATAGAAGAATGATAAGTTAAGCACCTATGGGACATGTGTTCAATGTGTATATGTTACGTGTTTGTGCAGGTCACATGTTATCGCCCGCCTGATCAGTTTATTCTATCTAATTGATATGTTCTACTATTGGAGCTATTTGTGAATAATAACTCTGTAAAGCTATGTTTGATTATAAGTGTAATAACTAGACCCTCTCACATGCTTAAATCTCTCATTAGATGTGTGATTATATGCGTGTTTATATGTTTGACATGAAATTCCATGTTTTAATGTGTGAATTATATGATTATGAAATTATATATGTTGATTATGAGAAAATCTGTTGAAATTGCAACCTTTGGACTGTAAATTGAAAGCCTTAGAGGCGTGATAAACGGAAATTGACTTTACAGTTATGATTAGCGTGATTTTTAGAACATAATATGAAGTTTTGTAAAAATTTTATTTGTAATAAATTAAATTGATTTAATTTGATCATAACTCTTAATTAAACTATTTGGACCCCAAAACGCAAGTCTTGTAGATATAAGAGATACATATACGAGCTTAGGTTAGCACTTAGATAAATCTCCTGGAGAAAGAGAGAGAAGAAGAGAAGCGAAGGAAAGAGGAGAAAACTCAACCTAAGTGGGAGGATTGAAGGAAATTGAAGAATAAGTCAAGGATTGGCTCAAGGTAAACGCAAATACTCTAAACCTCTCCTTAATTGATTAAAATCAATCCTTAGAATGAAGTTTTTAAACCCATAGAAGTTAAGGTTTATAAGTTACTACCATGGTTGAATTTATATCATGAAATTGAACATGTAATCTTTGGATTTGGTTAAATAAAAGGTTAATCCTTAGGTTTTGAGTTGTTTTGAGTAAGATTGAGAGAAATTACCATCTAATATTTAGTTTCACATGCTTTGAGCTCATTTATGTATATGCTTGTATATGTATAACTATAGTTGTTTTGATTAACCATGAAAAGATGAAAAAGTGGCAGAAAGGTAGCAATTTGTGTTGTGTATGTACAATTAAAATGAGCTAGGATCTAATTCAGCTTGAGGTTCACGTGTATTATGATTATATATTATGTTTTTGAAATGGAACTTGCTTGAATTAGAGCCTTGAAATACCTTTGGAAAGCTGAAATTGTTGAATTTCGGACTGCTCACATAGAGCCTAGGACTTCACGTGCAGGGCTTATGACCGCATGTGCGGGATGCACAGCTGCACGTGCGGGGCTCACAGTCATACGTACAGAAAACAAGGGAGACAGGTGTTGGCTTTTGAAATAAATGACGTGCAAGGCCGCACGTGCGGCACACCTCTCCGTAGGTGCAGTGAAGGACCTCCACACGTGCGGGAAGAGAGGGAAAATTATGTTGCTTTCTGACACCCCTTTTGACCTTCTGAACCTGTTAATCTATATATTTTATACCCCTAAAATATGTAAAAATGAATAGAAAGTGAACGGAAAAAAAAGAAGGTAAAAAGCTAAGAAAGGAATACATTACTTATCAGTTTATGTGTGGGATGTGTAGTTCATTCGCTATAAGGGACTACTACACGACCGAATCATTGTGAGTAATAGTAGTGTAAAGATGTACTTACATGTATTTATTTTGATACGTTAATGTGCAATTCTCTGAAGTTATGTTATTGAATGAATGAGCTACAAGAATTGGAATATGGAATGTGGATATGAGATGAGACTTATTCATGGTATAATATATTGGGCCCAAGGTCGTTCTATTATTATTGGGCCCGAGGCTGTTATGTTATTATTGGGCCTGAGGCCATTCGGTTATTATGATTGGGCTTGAGGCCGTTTTGTTATTATGATTGGGCCCAAGGCTGTTCTGTTATTATGATGGGGTCCGAGGTTATTTTGAAATGTATTGATATAAAGGACATACATGTGTTACGTACACGTTTTACGTTTTGCAAGACACATGCTCGTTTATATGCTTTATTACATTATTATTATTTGCTGAGCCTAGCTCATTCTATATTCATGTATGTTTTGTAAGTGGTCAGCTTGGAGGCCAGCCCTAGGTCAGCTTCAGGCGCTTTTTTGTGGAAATTTTTGGTTAAGCCCAATTGGAGTCTTTTTGTTTCTTATGGAGTTCAGTGCCACATTTTTGTAATGTTTTTGGTGGCTTTGTTGAACATTTTATGGTCATGTAACTTTTGGGTTACTAACTATTTGTACATATACCTACATGGACTGTATTTATATCTGAACAGCGCATGTGAACTTCTCCGTTTAAGGGAAGTTGTGTAATGATCCTGGCATATACGCACGACTAGATGGACGTTGTATTATTTAATTGCTTTCACTTTAGGCCCCTTTGTTGAATAAATTATATTCTTTGATTTTGATTTGAGGCATAAGTACAGGCCGGTAATGTCTTAAAATTTTAGGGGCAGATTTGGGTCATGATAGTTGTTATCAGAGCACGAGTAAATATCTCACAAACGTGTCCATCGGGCTATAAGGAGTCTAGAAAAGACTTAGGTTGCATGCATAATGTTTTCTACGTTTTGAATATCGTATGAAAGATGACTAATGATCATTGCCTATATACACTTGTGTCTCTTCTTGTGTGTATTATAATCCTTTGATATCTAAATCATGGTGAGGACAAGAATGGATGATATGGAAGACTCTACCTCAGCATGGCTGGATCGGTTGGAAATGACGATTGCAGACATGGCAGAAACTATGAGACAGCAACAGGAACAACAATAGCAGCAACCGCCGCCACCGCCAGTGCTTGTACCACCACCAGTGGTGCAAGACCATCAAGCTGAGGACCGAACCATTGCACTGACAAAAGAATTTAAGAAGATGAAGCCGTCATTGTTGAAGGGGGGCATTGAGTCAATGAAAGTTGAGGCGTGGGTACTGGGTATAGAGAAGTTATTTAAGGTCTTTCCGTGCACAGAAGGTACAGCCTGCAGCTTTTACCCTTGAAGACGAAGCACGGAGGTGGTGGATGCTGACTCAAAATGAACATTAAGGTTTGACTTGGGCTCAATTTTTGGAGCTTTTTATGATAAGTATTTCCCACAGTGCATGCGGGATAAGAAAGTGACAGAATTTGAGACGTTGAGGCAAGGAAACAAGATGGTGGCAGAGTATGAAGCATAATTTTCGGAGTTAGCCCATTACGCACCATACATGGTGGATACAGACTATAAGAAAGCAAGAAAGTTCGAAGGAGGACTCCAGAACTCGATTCTAGATAAGATTAATGTATTGAAATTGCCTACCTATATCGATGTACTGGAAAGGGCAATAGTGGCTGAAGGTAATATAGCTGCTCAAAACTGGGTTTCTAAGTAGAGAGGGAAGAGACAGAATGCGCAAGCACCAAAGGGATCAGTAGCGTCACAGAACAAGAAGCTGAACTTGGGAACTTCTAGTACTTCTGCCTCTACTCGTGAATTAACACCAACTTGTCCAGATTGTGGGAAGAGGCACCGTCGGACTTGTTATTGGGTAACTGGGGCTTGCCTCAAGTGTGGAAAGACGGGACATTTAGCAAGAGATTGCCCTCAGAGAGACCGGAAAAATGGGAATAGAACTACTACAACTTCAGTCGGCTCAACTCCAGCTTCAACTACAAAGACTACTGCAAAATCCACCAATACCAGAGACAATGCTAGGCAGGGGAGAGTATTTGCTCTTATTCCCGATGATGTGCAGAATACTGAGGCTATGGTGTCAGGTACATTTCCTATCGATGGTCACTTTGCTCATGTATTATTTGATTTGAGTTCTACCTATTCTTTTGTGTTAGAAACCTTTGCTAGTAAATTGAATAGACCTAAGGAATCGTTACATTATGTTCTATGTGTTTCTTCACCATCGGGGGGCTCCATGTTGCGTACATTCATTTATTCTGCTTGTGAGATCGTTATTGGGAATGTTCAATTATCTGCTGATATGTTGCTACTGGACATGGCTTATTTTGATATAATTTTGGGGATGGATTTGCTAAGTAAATACCATGTGACTATTGAGTGTATGTCTAAACAAGTCATATTTCGACCCTCGGGGCAATCCGAATTTATGATTATGGGACATGGGGTGATTTCCCTGCCGTACTTAATCTCCGCCATGAAGGCGTGTAAGCTATTACAAAAGGGTTGTTGACGGTATTTATGTAGCATTTTGAATGGACAACCAGCAGAGGTGTGTGTTGATAACATTCCAGTGGTACGTGAATTTTCGGACGTTTTTCCAGAGGAGTTGCTAGGAGAGTTAGTGGACCGAGAGATTGAATTTGTGATTGATATAGTACCAGGAACCCAACCAATTTCAAAAGCCCCTTATAGAATGTCACCTGTGGAAATGAAAGAGTTGAAGATACAGCTGCAAGACTTACTTGATAAAGGATTCATTCGTCCGAGCACTTCTCCTTAGGGCGCACCGGTTCTTTTTGTTAAGAAGGAAGATGGGACACTCCAGTTATGTGTTAACTACCGGGAGCTTAATAAGGTAACTGTAAAGAACAAGTATCCCTTGCCTAGGATCGATTATCTATTCAATCAACTTCAAGGTGCACAAGTCTTTTTGAAAATAGATTTTCACTGAAGACATTGAAAAGACTGCTTTCCGCACTCGATACGGGCATTATGAACTTATGATTATGCTGTTTGGGGTTACTAATGCACCGGCAGACTTCATGGATTTAATGAACCATGATTTTAAGCTGTACCTGGATGACTTCCTAGTTGTGTTTATTGATGACATTTTCATTTATTCGACAAACATGGAAGTACATGAGAACCAATTACGAATAATTCTGCAGACACTTCGAGATAAGAGGCTATATGCAAAATTGAAGAAGTGCGAGTTTTGGCTACATGAAGTAGTGTTTTTGGGGCACGTAATTAATAAAGAAGGTGTTTCTGTTGACCCGCACAAGATAAAATCCATTGTGAATTGGCCAACTCGTACGAATGCAACAGAGGTGTGTAGTTTCATGGGCATAGCAGGGTACTACCGAAGATTTGTACAAGACTTCTCCAAGATTGTAACACCACTCACCCAACTGACCCAAAAAGGGGTTATGTTTGAGTGAACAGAACAAAAGGAAATTACCTTTCAGGAGTTGAAGACAAGGTTAACTACAGCACCAGTTCTTGCCATACCATCTGGTACCGAGGGGTTTGTGATTTATAGCGATGCTTCTTACAAAGGATTGGGCTATGTACTCATGCAGCATGGAAGGGTCATCGCATATGCTTCTCACCAACTCAAGCCACATGAAAAGAATTATCTTACATATGACTTAGAGCTAGTTGCAGTGGTCTTTGCTATGAAAATATGGCGTCACTATTTGTATGGTACGACATGTGAGTTTTACACGGACCATAAGAGCTTAAAGTATTTCTTTACCCAAAGGTAGTTAAATATGAGACAAAGATGGTGGTTAGAGAGCTTATCAAAGATTATGACCTGCAAATCCATTACCACCCCGGCAAAGCTAATACAGTTGCGGATGCTCTTAGCTGAAAAGGTATGGAGACTTTGGCAAGTTTGCTCACTGGACAGCAAGAGTTGTTACTTGATTTGGAAAGAATGGACATAGAACTTGTGTTACATGGTCAAGACGCGGTATTAGAAACAATGTCAGTATAACCGGCTCTTATTGAAGAAATCAAGCAATGGCAAGTGGAAGATGAGTTTCTGAAGAAAATTTGTGTTGAGATGGAAACAAAGCCAAGGCCCGGGTTCATTCTTGAAAATTCGGTGTTGAAGTTTAAAGACAAATTGTGTGTCCCAAATGTTTCACAAATCAAGAGAAGAATTATGGAGGAAGCACATATGTCTAAATTTTCCCTATGTCCCAGTAATACAAAAATGTACCAAGATTTGAAGCAAAATTTTTGGTGGCCAAGCATGAACAAAGAAATTGCAGAATTTGTTTCAAAATATTTGCAATGTCAACAAGTAAAGCAGAGCACCAAAACTAGCAGGTCTACTTCAACCTCTCCCAATTCCGAAGTGGAAGTGGGAACATTTGATGATGGATTTTATTGTGGGTTTGCCACGAACACCACTAGGTATGAATTCCATATGGGTTATTGTTGATAGATTAACTCAATTTGCCCATTTTCTGTCTATGAAAACTCAATATAATGCGGATAGACTTGCTGCTATATATATGAATGAAATTATCCGGCTATATGGTGTCCCGGTTTCAATTGTATCCGATAGAGATCCGAAATTTTGTATCCAGATTTTGGCATAGTTTACAGAATGCCATGGGAACAGAGTTAAAATTCAGTACGGCATTCCACCCTCAAACAGATGGCCAATCAGAGAGAACAATACAAACATTGAAGGATATGCTTTGGCTGTGCGCCGTGGATTTCCAAGGGAGTTGGGAAATATACTTACCGTCAGTAGAGTTTGCATATAACAATAGTTTTCGCTCAAGCATAAGGATGGAACCATATGAAACTTTGTACGGAAGAAAATGCCGCTCCCCAGTGTGTTGGGCTAAAGTTGGTGATAGATCATTGTTTGGGCTTGAAATTGTACAAATGACAACGGAGAAAATCAAAGTCATTAGGAAAGATTAAAAACTACTCAAAGCAGGCAAAAGAGTTATGTGAATTATCGACGAAGGGATTTGGAATTTGAGGTGGGCAATTATGTTTTTGTGAAAGTCACTCCGATGAAAGGACACACAAGATTTGGCAAGAAGGGTAAATTAGCACCTCAGTATGTAGGTCCGTTTCAAATTCTAGAAAAAGTGGGTCCAGTAGCTTATCGTATTGCTCTTCCACCGAGTATGAGACAAGTACATAATGTCTTTCATGTATCCATGTTACGAGGTTACCTCTAAGATCCGTCCCATATCATAGATTACCATGAACTTACTTTGGATGACAATTTGATCTATGAGGAGAAACCAATTCAAATTCTAGATCATCAAGTGAAACAATTACAAAACAAAACAATTCCAATGGTAAAAGTTGAATGGCAAGAACACTATGGGAAGGAAGCCACTTGGGAGAGAGAAGAGGAAATGAAACAACGATATCCAGAGTTATTCTCAACTTGAGGTAAAATAAGTTTGAGGGACCAAACTTCTTTAAAGGGGGAAAAGTGTAATAACCCAACCCTCTCACATGCTTAAATCTCTCATTAGATGTGTGATTATGTGTGTGTTTATATGTATTGGGCCCGAGGCCGTTCTGTTATTATGATGGGGCCCGAGGCCATTTTGAAATGTATTGACATAAAGGACATACATGTGTTACATACACGTTTTACGTTTTGCAAGACACATGCTCGTTTATATGCTTTATTACATTATTATTATTCACTGAGCCTGGCTCATTCCGTATTCATGTATGTTTTGTAGGTGGTCAGCTTGGAGGCTAGCCCTAGGTCAACTTCAGGCGCCTTTTTGTGGAAATTTTTGGTTAAGCCCAAGTGGAGTCATTTTGTTTCTTATGGAGTTCAATGCCACATTTTTGTAATGTTTTTGGTGGCTTTGTTGAACATTTTATGGTCATGTAACTTTTGGGTTATTAACTATTTGTACATATACCTGCCTTGGATTGTATTTATATTCGTTTAAAGGAAGTTGTGTAATGATCCTGGCACATACACACGGCTCGATGGACGTAGTATTATTTAATTGCTTTCACTTTAGGCCCTTTTGTTGAATAAATTATATTCTTTGATTTTAATTTTAGGCCTAAGTATAGGTCGGTCATGTCCTAAACTTTTAGGGGTAGATTTGGATCGTGACAATAAGTATTTTCATAATGATACGATATGATCTGTTTTGTGAAATGCTATTTTGTGAAGCATGAATGATTGTTCAGTTTTTTTTAAATGTGTTCATGGAATCCTTAGCATAAAGTGTTCATGTGACTTGGTACCAGGGTTTCAAGTGGGTTCCATCCATGGAACTGGTTATGCATAACCGCTTATATGGTCTGCACGTAGGTCTTTATGACCATCCCAAGTGAAAGTGGGTCTTTAAGACCATTCCAAGTGAAAGTAGGTCTTTATAACCATTCCAAGTAAAAGTGGATCTTTATGACCAAGTGATTTGTGAGCTAATGGATGTACCACGTATAACTGTTTATGGAATCTGTATAAATATGTGAATCTGAATTTGTATTGATCTGAATTCTAATTTTTTAATGTATTTTGGACATCATTCATAAACACTTTATTCTGTTGTTATTCACTATGCTCCAGTTCATTGTATTATTTATGTATGCAGGGGATCAGGCGCGAGACTAGGCTTAAATTACTAGCCTTGAGTTCTGTTTTGTCAAGCCAACCTACGTGCCTCCAGAGGAGGTTCCCAAGTGTTTCAAATGTTCAAGTCAAGTACACGTGGTGTCTATTTTTGTCTTCCTTTTCTTTTGTTTAATCTGTATTTAAGGCAAAGTCCCTTTCTGTTTGTTTCTAAGTAGGTGATGTAGGATAATGATGTATATGTATATAAGACATCACTATCTATGTGAATATAAGTTTAAAAATTTTATGTCCCATATACATCTGCACAGCTCTATGGATAGTGTATTTTGTATATTTGCTTCCACTAGCCCCTAATAATTTGATTATTGTTATGAGGCCTTTGGTAATCTACGGATTACTGGCCAGTTAAGATGCTAAACCTATAGGGGTGGGTTTAGGTTGTGACACCTTGGTTAAACTTTAATTATCGTTTTCGAATGGAATTTGCTCAATGTAAACAGTTGGTGACTTGTTCAACTTTGAGAAAACCCTAATTATGCAGTGGAGCACAAACCATGGGCAATCAATATAGCTTGGATCACTGCTTTGCCTTTGTAACTTAAGGTAGGAGCCCAGATTGTTTTTGGGAGGGGGGAAGTCGTAAGGTCAATCTCTGAAGCCTGATATTTGCCTATGTTTGTACGGCCATAGAGTGGATGTGCTTCTACCTGGTGCATGGTGAATTTTAGAAGCCTTACACAGTTTGTGATTCGCTCAGAGGCAAAATGTTGAAAGTGTGCCTGGTCAAACCTAGTTCATATTTTACACGGTTGAAGATTGGGCTTGGTTATGTTTCGAAGCCCAAGTTTTGAAAGTGAGGTTGTTGCTGAGCAGTCTAAAAGGCAATGGAATGTTAGCCACGCAAATCAAGAGTGAAGTTTGGTCATATTGGAATCTAGAATTTTTGCTTGGAGTTTAAGAAGTGTAATCCCAATCATGCTTAAAGCAATAGACGGAAGTAAGGAGCAATTGAGAGTTACATTTCTACCGGACTGGTGAGTCAGGCAAAGCCCATCAAGGCTTGACTCTAGTGACCTTGCAAATGGACTTTGCTAGGCTTCACTCTGGCGTCCTTGCAAACGAACTTTGTTAGGCTTAACTCTGGCGACCTTGCAAACGGACCTTGGTAGGCTTGACTCCGACAACCCCCCAAATGGACTTTGCTAGGCTTAACTCTAGCAACCTTGCAAACAGACCTTGCAAATGGATTTTTCTAGGTTTAACAAGTTAGACTGGGCAAACGGTGCTTAGATGTCGCCCGAGCAGATGGATCTTGGATGTCGACCTTGCAAACAGCATGCGAGTGTCAGCCGGACAAACGATGTATGATGTTGACTGTGCAGAAAGGCATGCTAAGTTCTAGACCGGATTCGAAGGTCATGCTAAGTCTTTGACCGATATGTTTAGCTTGACAAATGTTTGTCAAGTAAGGTTTGCACGGTGTAATGTTTGGCTCGGCGTTCTTACTTGGAATTAGTAAGGTTTAACCTATATGGTTATGCAATTAACGTGCAACCGAGCTAATGGTTTGTTTATCTCGGTTATCGATCTGGGAGTTAGGTCATTTCACTGGGACTTTGGTGATAAGGGTGTTAAAGGATGGGCCTTATCCTTTAAGATATTGACCCCTGATAAGACTCTACGGAGAGAAATTAGAATCCTACTATGATTCTACCATGCAGAACACATAAAAACTCAAAGATAACCTAGAACAAGGTAACGCAACTTTACTCATAGAATACTTGAGAGTTATCACCATATTGATCTTAAGAGTCCTAACTTAAATATCGGAGGGGTTTTCTGGCACACACCCGTCAGTAAGCTCATCGGAGTTATGTTTTCACATCACATTATGCCATTCGGAGGAGAGCAAGCTTGAGCTTAAGGAATACACGTGCGAGGTATATTTCTTACTCGTATAGTAGTTATTCAAATAAAAAAAAAAATTACTTTCGTGCTGACCGTGCCATTACAACCATCATAACCAATGCCGCACCACAAACTATTCCAATATTAAGAGCAACTTCAATTGTTCCTTTTACATTGCCCTAACCTTTCTTTTTCATTTGCCAAATTTCATTCCCATTCACAACCTTCAACTTGATGTGTTCACTTTCACAACTTGTTAAACGTTGTATTGGTAAACTACTTCTATTCTGGCATCATCATTCTCTCTACCATTGACCTCTTCATTATCATCTTTGTCTCCCCCTCTATAGCCTCCATTGCCCCCTCTATTATCATCATTCTTTTACGCTTCATTGCCTCCATTGTCCATTCCATTATCATCAATCTCTCCCCCTCCATTACCTTTTCCATCATCATCATTATCTCCCTTACCATTGTCCCCTCCATCATAATCATTATCTCTCCATCTATTGCCTCTATTGCCTCCTCTATCATCATTATTCTGTCCCCCTCCATTGCCTCTATTTCCCCGTTTATGCTCTTCTTCTATATTCTCTACCCAATTCTTCGCAATTAGAAGAATAAATGCAAAAAAGAAATCTATCCATACTAAACCTTCCCTCCCCCCCCCTCCTTTTTTTCCATAACTCAATAAAGAAATGCATACTCATATCTAAGAATATCGTACACAAATCTATCTCAAAATATGGATGGAAAATTCTACAGATAAGATAAACATAATAAGATAAGGCAACGGTAACTCCTACACTATACGCTTCCACAAGATCACTCAATATTCTCTAGGGTAGGCCACCAAATAAAGTATAACAGCAATCCCAACTAGACAAAGTAATTCAGTGATACTCCTATACACAAACCAACTCTGACTCTGATATTGTATGGACCATGGTATATGAACAATGTCAAGAATCTAGTATGCACGACATAAAATACAATTTGAAACCAAGTTATATCGTATTTGTCCAGTTTGAAATCTTGGTAGAAAACATTATTCGGGAATAGAACTAAGAAAATACAGAGCCGTCGACGCCGCTAGCCAAAACCACAATAGGCCTTTGCTAAATAATTTTCTATCCCCCCAATCAAATCCCATATAAAACAAATAGTTGAAAATATAAAATGCTTACAAATATTAATGTGAGAACCAATATTTAATTCTTTTTATAAATGCATTATAAGATATGAATAATAAATTAATTTATCTAAAGACAATTTAATAATAATAAATTTGTTAATGTATAAATTAGTTAAAAATATTCGAATTTAGTCTCTAACAAGAATATCACTCATAATAAATAATTTTGTGGGTATTCAATATTTTTCGTTCGTAACTATTTTTGACAAAGATTCAACCTAATAATTATCCTTACTAAATACATTAGTTGAAAACCTTATTTGATTGATTTTTAAGAAACCCATACAAATACACAATTATATAAATTTATTATTGAATTCAAAAAAAAAAAATTGTATTAGGTGGCCTATGGGGGTGAGTCACCCTACCACTTGTGCCTTTGCATTCAAAGTTAAGAGTAAAATGATGAGTAATCTTGGATAAAAAAAATTCTGATGGGATATGTCCCATGCATGATGATTGCAAACTTGGCTGCTCAAACTCTCTATATAGGAGTGTTTAGTATTCTTTCCCTTTACTTGGCAGATTGGGTAGAACCAAAGAAACTAAAAAATAAAAAATAATCTGACAATGAAGTGCTACAAAGAAGAAAAAGGATAGAGGAAGAAAAAAGCCAAAGTTTTTCAATCATTTCATCCTCAAACCCTCATTAAAGTTGTGTTTTCAGGTCACATTATAGCAATCTGATGAGAGCAAGCTTGATCACAAGGAATACTCATGCAAGGTATATTTCTTACTCGTACAGTTGCTATTCAAATAAAAAAAACAGATTACCTTTGCCCCGATCGTGCCATTGCAACCATCATGACCAATGCTGCACCACAAACTATTCCAATATTGAGAGCAACTTCAAGTGTTCCATTTCCATTTCCCCAACCTTTCGTTTTCCTTTACCCGGTTTCATTCCCATTCACAGCCTTCAACTTCATGTGTTCATTTTACAACTGTGTTGAACGTTGCATTGGCAAACTACTTTTATTCCAGCATCATCTTTATCTCCACCATTGGCCTCTCCATCATCATCTTTGTCTCCCCATCCATTGCCTCCATTTCCTACTCCATCATCATCATTCTCTTGCCCTTCATTGCCTTCGCTGTCCCTTCCATCATCATCAATCTCTCCCCTTCCATTGCCCTCTTCTTCATCATCATTCTCTCCCCTACCATTGTCCTCATTGCCCCTTCCATCATCATCATCATTCTCTCTCCCTCTATTACCTCCATTGCCCCCTCCTCCATCTCCATTATTCTCTCCTCATCCATTGCCCCTATTACCCCCTGTATGCTCTTCTTCCATATTCTCTACCAAATTCTTTCCAATTAGAAGAATAAATGCAAAAAAAATAAATCTATTCAAACAAAACCTTTTCCCTATTTTTTCCATAACTTAATAGAGAAATGTATACTCATATCTAAAAATATTGTAGGCAAATCAACCTCAAAATATGGATTGAAAATTCTAGAAATGAAATAAGCATAATAGGCTAAGGCAAGGGTAACTCTTACACTATACGTATCCACAAGGTCACCAAATTGTTTGTGAAACTCTCTAGGGTGGGCAACTAGATAAAGTATAACAACAGTCCCAACTAGACAAAGAATTCAACGATACTCTTATATTGAAATCCAAATTTGACTCTGATAATGTATGTGTTACCTAGGTAGGCAACCCAAGAGGGAGGTGAATTGGGTTTAAAAAATTTTAAATACAGAATATTGAATCTAATAAATCATGTAAATAAATTTTAGCTAGTAATCAATAATACTAAAAATAAAAGAGATATGAAAGAGAGCTCAAACGCAAGGATTTATAGTGGTTCGACACACCAGGCCGACTTCCAGTCCTCAAGGTTCCTCCTCGAGATGTTCTTCACTATGAATCAAATCAATACACCACCACAGCCTTACCAAGCTTGTGGATTTTTTTTACAGGGCTTACTTTATCTGTTGAGGACCTCTCAACTAAATGCCTCACTTTACAAGATTTCACTTAGAATAAAGGGAATAAAAACAAGAGGTACAATTGTCCTATTTTACAAGATTTCTCTCTCAAAAGATGTATATAAAAGTGTAAGAGCAGATGGAATTTTGAGATACACTTAGAATAAACTCAAATATGAAAGTGAAAGCACAAGAGTAATATTTAGCAGAGATTGATTAGGAATAGTTCTTGAATGCTCAGAGTAGTTCATCTTTTCAAATCTAGAGAGGTGCTGCCTTTATAGACTTCAATGACTTCTAGTCATTAGAGAAAAGCATAGGTGTGTCTTCTAGCCGTTGGAGCAGAGCATGGGTGATGTCTTCAAGCTATCAGAGCAAAGCATAGGCATATATAGGCTTGTCAACAAGCCTTTAGAGATGGAGCCTCCTCAAAAGATGCAATGTCCATTAATACAAATCTTGGTAGGTGAAGATAAGATATGTTTCCATAATGATGATAGCAAAGTCTGCTCAAGGTCTGCTCATAATGAAAACTGCAAAGTCTGCTTATAGATCAGAAAATGGCGGCTAGGTTTTAAAACCTAGACATAAGGGTGTTGACCCCTGCAGATTGGGTGTCGACCCTTTGTTCTCTTTTCTTCTCTGCTTTGACTGTCAGGTGTTCCTACTATCGGCCCTCCCGTAACTGGGTGTCGACCCTTTGTTTGCTAGAACTCTTTTCTATGTCTTTTAGTGTGGACCCTTGTCATGTGCTGGAGTCGACCCTTAGTTCACTGAAATTTGGTGTCGACCATTTCATATCTTGGTGTCGATCCTTTGCTGCTGAAATGTTCAAGCCTTGTATACTGAAATATAATGTCGACCCTCTTCATTCTTGGTGTCGAACTTTGGTATACTAAAATTTGGTGTCGACCCTGGTAAGACTTGGAGTCAACCTTTGGTTGCTGCAACACTTAGGCATTGTGTACTGCTTTCTGATGTCAACCCTTGCTGTTTTGGTGTCGACCCTTGGACCTATTTTAAGCAAAAATCGCCTTTTGCGCACATGTACAAATTCAATGTTTTGATGTGCCAATTTTTATGAGATAATGACAAATTTGAAGCATTCAATCTTTTTGAAACAATGAAAAACAACAATTAATATAATTTTGAATACTTTGAAAATTTTTAATGGGTGCAAAATATTTGTCGATTATCAAAATCAATAAGAATTAAAACGTGAATAACCTTGGGGCTAAAAATCCCCCCCTTTTTGATGATGACAAATTTATATGAAAAAATTTCAAAACATGAGTTTCAAAACAAGGTTTTTAAGGGGTAGTTTTCAAAGAGTTTTGTGAATAATGAATTTAAAAACCGAGATCGAAAATTCCGCCTATAAAACGAGCTTTATGGCCAAAACATTTTCAATTCAAAGCTCAATACAAATGCATAAGAATTTGCACAAATAAGATAGCTTAAGTATGGCAATACTTCCCCTGTCAATTTGCACTGGATCAATAGCAAATGAGAACACTTATCGCCTTAATTTCATTGAATAAAATCATAAGCTTTTATACCAAAAAAACAATTTCAATTCTCAAGAATGTCAAATAAACATCAAGCAATGTGTGTGTTGTTGATAGTATATAAAGAACAATCATAAACAAAAACCACCATATTAGTATTTCTTCAAAATCATCCACAATTGTTTATCATCCATCTAATCAAAAATAACTATTGTGCATCCAAAATAATTAATCAAAACACAACATTCTTTTCCCCTTTTGTTAAATAAATTAACAGATTATCATGTGAAAAACTATCAGTCATAAACACCAAAACAACAAAACAACATCTAAAATTCTTCTCCCCTTTTGTCATAAGCAAAAAGAGGGGCAGAGGCTAGTGAAAAGGGTGGAGGATTGCGAGGCTAATGGGGAGCTGCTTCACACCATCCTTGAGCAAAATAGAGCATGAACTTGCAAATTTGTTGTTTGAAGTCGTCATCCCATCGCTGCTAGAAAATGTATCGAAATTCTTCATTTGCGTACTTGAGCCCATAAACAGCAATGACCATGCTCTCAACACTCGTTTTGGTCGCTACAATGGCTTGAGACTATTGAATCTTCATTCGGTCGATGTCATGTTGCATATCCGTCTGTCGAGATAGAAGTTGTTGAACCATGGAGGCCAACTGATCAACTTTTTGAGCCAGGTCAGGTGAGAGTAAAGCAGAGGCTGAGTGGGAGGATGATGGAATATTTGAAGCTTGTGTGGATTGTTGATTGAGATTGAGGTTGTCAAGCCTCGAGTCAACGATTCTGACCAACAAAGGACCTTGAACCAAGGAATCAAGGTGATCAATTTTGTGTGTGTGTGTGTGAGAGAGAGAGAGAGAGAAAGAGAGAGAGAGAAAAAAAATTGCATGTGTGTGTGTGTGTGTGTGTGTGTGTGTGTGTGTGTGAGAGTGAGAGAGAGAGAGAGAGAAAGAAATAAAGAAAGAAAGAAAGAGAGGGGAAAAGATCAGGTGGTGGTGCAGTAAAAGAAGAGAAGAGACCAGGGGTGGAGAATTACAAAGAGAAAAGGCAAGAAATGATGAAGAGAGATGGAGCAGGAGTAGATGGAGTAGGAGAAGAGACAACCTTTTTGGTTTTGGTCCATACCCTATCAATCAAAGAATAGCCCATATGGCTCAGGTTTCAAAACCATAACAGGCTGGGTCTCGGGGGACTCTATCTTCACCATTTAGATTAAATTTGAAATGTTTAAAATTTTTGGTGAAGATCATCCCGTATGGAAGGACTTGGTTATGTCTTTTGTGTGCATCAATGATGACGTGACACACCAAATTGCCAAAATCAATAAGATAGCCAATGGATGAGGCCCAAATAAGAAAGGTGTGGCCAATGGTAACAGCGTCACAACGGCTAGAACAAGGAATGATGTCATGAGTGATAATGTGATGCAAGAGCCTCATCTCAAGAGAGATATCTTTGCCAGAAACAGTGATATGGTGATCTAGGGTATGGTTATTTGTGAGGAATTTCAAGCCAATAAAATGAGTGTAGTAGGGTGAGTTAATGACTAAAGATGGAGAGACTTTTTGACCATCATTGGAGGTTTTCGAAATAGAGTTTACAATAGAGAGTTTTAAAGTGAAAAACACACCCCTTACAAAAAAATCTAAAGAACCAAGGGCAGATTCTTCATTGTAAGAAAGATAAGAAAAAAAAATTCTTTAACAATATAGAGGTAGACATCATAGTCAAGTTTAAGAAAAGAGGACCACTTTTGGTTTTCAAACCAAGTTTTAACAGGGATGTTTTGCTCCTCAAAGAAATTAATATCAATGGTGCACCCAGAGAGTACTTTTCGTAGGTTGAAGTCTTTGTTAAAGGCGGCCTTGGCTTCGTTCGACGCAATAGAGGACTGGATGGAACAGGGGCAGCGGTAGAAGTGATGGATAAGCGAAGTCGTTTCCTCGAAGGGGCCGAAGGGGAGGCTTAAGGATCCATGGAGATTGAACGTAAGAGTATGCGAAAGAGGAGGATGGAGATCGGAAGGGAAAACGACGGTTGAGTCGCCAGAAAAGTGTAAGGGGCTAGGGCTAGGGCTTTGAGCGGTGTCGCAAAGGAATAGGAAAGGGTTGCTAGGTATATATATACCCTTAAGAAAGTGTCGACCCTCGCGAAGAGAGGTGTCGACCCTAAAAAACAATATGCCAAAAACATTTTGGTGTCGACACTCGTGAAGGTAGGTGTTGACCATTATAAATAAAAGCACAAAAAGGGTCCACACGGTGTCGACCCTATATAGCGGGGTTCAACCTTTAAAGGTCCGGACAGAGTACAAGCAGAGTTTTTCAAGACAAATTTCACGCGAAAGCATATAAATCTTAATTAAACCGTCACATAGGAATATTCATCATGCCAAGCTCAGTTCGAATAAAGTAAAATTGTTCCTCATTGAGTGGCTTAGTAAAAATATCCGCCAATTGACAGTTTGTTGGCACAAATTCGAGTTCAATGTCACCTTTAAGTACATGATCTTATAGAAAATGATGCCTTATTTCAAAGTGTTTATTGCGTGAGTGCTGAATAGGATTTTTGAAAGATTAATGGCACTAGTGTTGTCGCATTTTATAGAAATGTGATCAAAATGAAGTCCGAAATCGTGAAGTTATTTTCTCATCCAAAGCATTTGTGCACAACAACTTGCGGCGACAATGTATTCTGCTTCAACAATTAACAAAGCTACTGAATTTTCTTTTTTACAAAACCATGATGTGAGAGAGTTTCCAAAAAAATGACAAATGCCACTAGTGCTTTTTCGATCAAGTTTACATCCCGCAAAGTCGGCATCTGAGTAACCATAAAGGTCAAAAACATTACTTTTAGGATACCACAAACCCAAATTTGGAGTGCCAACTAGACATCGAAAAATACATTTAACTGCAATGACATGTGATTATTTTGGAGCAGATTGAAAACATGTACACATACAAACACTAAACATTATGTCGAGTTTACTAGAAGTTAGATAAAGTAAGGAACCAATCATGCCTCGATATGTCTTTTCATCTACCGGTTTACCTTGCTCATCTTTGTTGATTTGAATCGATGTGCTCATTGTAGTTGTTTCTAGCTTTGATAAATCCATTTCAAACCTTTTGAGGAGATCTTTGATATATTTAGCTTGACTTAGATAGATTTCATCTTTGGTTTGTTTTATTTGTAGTCTGAGGAAGTAAGTTAACTCCCCCATCATACTCATTTCAAATTCACCAGGCATATCCTTAGCAAGTTCCATGTACAAATTTTCATTAATAGCACCAAATATAATATCATCGATATAAATTTGAACAATGAGAATGTCTTCCTTTTATTTATTTTTTTATGAGAGTGGTATCTGTTTTACCGCGAGAAAAACCTTTATCAAGAAGAAAATTACTCAGTCATTCATATCATGCTCGAGGTACTTGATTTAAACCATATAAAGCTTTTGAAAGTTTAAAAACATGGTCCGGGTATTTGTAATTTTCAAAATCGGGAGGTTGTTCAACATAAACTTCCTCTGAAATGTATCCATTTAAAAAAGCACTTTTCACATCCATTTGATAAAGCTTAAAATCTTTAAAACATGCAAATGTAAGCAACATACGGATAGCTTCAAGACAAGCAACGGGAGCAAAAGTCTCATCAAAATCAGTGCTCTCTTCTTAATTATAACCTTGGGCTACTAATCTAGCTTTGTTTCGAGTAACAATACCGGATTCATCCATTTTGTTTCGAAAAACTCATTTTGTTCCAATAACAAAATGATCTTAGGTCGAGGAGTTAAAAACTAAACTTCATTTCTTTCAAAATGATTTCTTTCAAATTGATTTAATGCTTCTTGCATAGTGAAAATCCAATTTTCATCATGTCAGCTTCAGAAAAAAAATTTGGCTCTATTTGGGAAACGAAAGCTAAGTTACCACAAATATTATGAATAGAAGAGCGAGTCCTTACACCTTGTGTTGTATCTCCTATGATGAGATCCTTTGGATGTCCATAAGCATATTTCCATTTTTTAGGTAGATCATTTTCCTTATCTGAACGAGTGTATTCTTTTTGAAGATCTTCCATAGAGACTCCATCATTGGGTTTCAAAGAATGATTTTCTTTATTTTCTAATATGTAAATGCTCCATTCTTGGATTATATTCTGCAACATCTTCACTTTCAACATTCTTTGAAACAAAGGAGTTAGGTTCATCAAAAGCAACGTGTACAGACTCTTCAACAAGTAAAGTTCTTTTATTAAATATACGGTAAGCTTTACTAGAATTAGAATAGCTAAGAAACATAGCTTCATCAAATTTCATATCAAATTTTCCTAAATTATCTTTATTATTATTAAGCACAAAACATTTACAACCAAAGGCACACAAATGACTAATGTTAGGTTTTCTACCTTTCAAGAATTCATATGGGGTTTTCTTGAGAATACGTCTAATCATGGCACGATTTACAACATAGCATGCAGTATTAACTGCTTCAGCCCAAAAATATCTAGGCAAATCATTTTCACAAAACATAGTGCGAGCCATTTCCTCGAGAGTTCTGTTTTTTTTCTTTTAACAACACCATTTTGTTGAGTTCTAGGAGAAGAAAAATTATGATCAATACCATGCTCATTACAAAATAGAATAAAGTCATCATTATCAAATTCTTTACCATGATTACTTCTAATACAACAAATAGCAAGATTAATCATATTCTGGATACGTTTACACAATGCAGAGAAAGTATCACTTTTATGTGCCAAGAATAGCACCCATGTAAATCTAGTATAATCATCCACACAAATAAGACAATATGATTTTCCACCCAGACTTAAAGTCCTAGATGGTCCAAACAAATCAATATGCAGCAATTGAAGAGGTCTAGATGTAAAAATAATATTTTTGGATTTGAAATAAACTTTTATTTGTTTACCTTTGTTGACGAGCATCACAAAACCTATCCTTTTCAAAAGCAATTTTTGATAAACCAACAACTAACTCATATTGTGAAATCTTTGAAAGCAAATCCATATGAGCATGTTCCAATCTTCTATACCATAACCAACCCGATTCATCTATGGCAAATAAGCACTTAACATCATGATTGGAAGATAAACTATGCAAATTAAACACATACACATTTTCATGTTTGACCTACAAAAAGCACTTTGTTATCAACAATTTCAATAATGCAATGAGATTTTTCGAAAGTAACTCTATTACCTTTATCACACAACTGACTAATATTAAGCAAGTTATGTTTCAAACATTCAACAAGTAATGCTACTAAAAAAAGCACTTTTTGCGACCGCTACAAGCCGTCGCAAATAATAAAAATACAATCGCAAAAAACCTTTTATGATGGTCCATGCGACGGTAAATGGGGGTCGCGAATGTGGGGTGGCAAATACTTTTTGCCACGACAAAACAACGGTCGCAAATTATTCATGACTACTATTTTGCCGTCACAAAAAACAAAGAAAAATGCTAACATGTTTTTTGGTGACCATCTTGTTACCGTCACACAAAAAAACAAAAAAAGTGTAATGTTAAGCATTCTAGGAATATCAATGACAAGAATTCAGACAATATAACATCGTAGTTTAATCAGGCATTCCTTTTGCGCCTCAAAATTGGAGCCATAAGTAAAAGTTATTACAACTAAAAACCTGGAAAAAGTTCTTTATGACAAAAACACAATCTAGATAAAATGTTAGTAAAGCCAAAATCTACAATGCTGATGTTCACCACTGTACAAGGTTCTGAACGATTTCCAATTTGTTACCAACTTCATTGTTGATCCTATGAGTCTCTCACCACAATGATAGAAAACATGAAAACTGGTGCATAACCCCAAACTCTGAAAAGAACAGCACAAAAGGTATAGAATTAGAAATTATTCAAAGTACCAAGAAAAACCTATATCCTGTTTTAAGAAAGATATTGCATGTTTAGAACCATCTTCATATTAAAAGCCAGAATAGAAACTACGTGCAATTTAATGATAATCAATTCAACAATTGCTCACCAATACAAGAAGTTAAGTTTAAAAAGGATAGACCAAACTCTGGTCAAGTAAAAGTGCAATATACATTAACAGAGCTAAACAAATGCATACCAGTAATCTACCTGCCTAGCCTCATATACAACAACATTCAAAGCATTAGATGAATGTGGTGTATTAGTCTTGTGATTGATAAAAATATTTCAAATTCATAAGTGTTTAATTTCAATCCCCACTACAACTGTAGAGGATTCATAAAACTATTATCCACAATCTAAGTGCAAGTTTAATATTTAAGGACCAAGCGCTGTGGGGTATTAACCATTCTACGATATTTCTTCACCAGATATACAACATGAACCCTGAAAAACAAGCAATGTAAATATGAAAATTCACCTTCTAGATATTCCAGCAAAACAATGAACCATCGCACCGCCATGCATTCTTTTAGCTCCATCGATGAAATTGAAACACTCATCAAAATACTATGTTATATTCATGTATGCTTTGTCTGGGACTACATCAATCCACAAAAAATGACATAGATTATTAAAAACTTTGGTCATAAAGCTCAAGGTGTCTTCAACCATTAAACAACATCATAAATTTCTATATGACTAGAACATGAGAAACTCTGCATAAACAGTAACAATATAACCATAAGCTACAATAAATTGAAGAAGAAAAGAAAACAAGCAGAACAAAATTTATGAAAGTGAAACTAAAACAACTTTAAGGAAACATATGGTTGAACCCCAGCTTCCTAGTGAGATTGAATATGAGATGAAGGACTTCCTCAAAAGTAATTTAAACATGCAATATAGATATAACTTAACAACTAATTTCAGTAAGACAAAATAATTTATTATATTCAAGGATCATATATCTTAAGAAGATGTCAGTTCAAAAGAAGAACACTAATCCACAGATCGATCTCAAAACTTCCCTACTATTTATCCTTGGAAAAGAAAACCAAAAAGCCAAAAATGCTTACTACTAACTATTTTGTATACGAAGTCATGAGGATGAGCAGGTCATAATGAATTAGCCACGGTTAAAATGTAAGTAACATTCAAGCTTTTCAACATAAAAAATTAACTGTAGTTCCAATTTGATTCATTGCTACTAAGGAAACTTTACAAATACATCTTATTTTGAAACTTGTTGGATCAATTTCATCAATTCAAGTTCTACAATAGCAAAATACATGTTCATCTTCTTTTGAAGTTTTTTAATTTGTATGGTTTGTTTATCCGATTCAAATCGTCGCAAAATGAACCAGCCAGATTGCAAACGATATTTATTCACAACGGTATATGAAGAAGTATTTGTACCATAAGGCCAAAATACAAGTACAAATCGGCCAATAATCATAACCATGGTATGGGCCCTAGATAATAACTTTTGCTTTAACTCTTACATGGGATCTAAAGAGCTCTTAAAAATTTATGAACAACATTCTTACTATCATTCAAGTGACCTATTATGCGGGATCAGCAAGGGTCTATTCAGCTACCCAAATTTATAATATACAATTCCCATGTAATAATAAAAAGCCATGAAATTAATATAAATAAATTAAAAACTGGACCACACAATAGAAAGGGTAAGTTTTCCACCAACTATTTACAAATCAAGGTAACAACAAGATCATCACCTACACATACCTTATATGCAAGAAATTTCAGTTTGATCATCAAATTTGCATCTTCATCTACTAAATCATCTTTTGCTAATGTTCCATTGCTACTGTTGACATGTTTAATCAAATCATTGGTGTTTTTTGCAGTTTGAGCAACTTTCACCCTGTTTTCCTTGAATAAATTTAAGTCAACAAAAAATCCTAGCAAAAACAAAAAGAAAAAGAAAAGAAGCATCACCAACTGATTTATGCCAGTCTGGCGTATCTTTTGGCAGAGACTGTGCATGCACATATGCATCAAAATTTTGCATAAAAATACTTCCAAATATATCATTCTTACTGTAGGAAGTGTTATTATATTTTCTAGTATCACTACCTAACACATTCGTTTAGCCTTCATTTCTCAACAACATATACTCCTCATTATCCTAATTCCTTACATGGTTGTAAGAGTACCAAACCATTAATAGTCAATGTCACTTTGAACAGTACCAAATCTTTTTACCACAGCTGTGTAAGGGATCTGAATCTTCTAATCCCTATTTCCACTTTCGAGTCTCACCACATTATAGAGAAGTACTTTGATTACAGAAGTAGCCATACAGAATGGAGAAATATGTGGCAAACAACATTCAGCTATGGTTGAGCGTTAAATATCTTCCTTTGAGGAGGTTGGGGGTAAATAAATGTCCTTAAGGCTATCCAGAAGTGACAAATTCTTCGGGTTGTAAAATTTAAACTTTTAAATAGGAACTAAAACAAGATCAACAAGAAAGACAGTTACCTCGATATAAAGGCCATAATCCTGGTTTGTTCCTGAAACATACCAAAGGTTTTTCAATCAGAAAATTCAAGGAACATGCATAACAAAAAAATGACAAGGAATAACATAAACCATAATATACATCGACCAAAGTACCAGATGAATCACTACATTGTTGGGAAAAACTACTCACATTACATAATTTCACATTGCATATCGCAAAATTATGAGATGAACAAAACAAACCTTCAATCCCAGGAAAAATAACATGCTGAATAAAATACAGATAAAATATAAAATGGTTAAAGGATGCAAACCGAAGCCTGTGTGATACCACAGTCTCCTTAAAATAAATTTGCCGCCTCACCGTTGGGTGCTGGAGGTACGCCGGCGTCTACTTGCCAAGATACGACGGTTTTTACCAACCGCAACAGAAGCACCTTCTGATTAGCTTAGCAAACAGACAACGGCAGCACTCTCTCTCAGGAAGAAAATTATAAGAGAAGTAGACTGACAGTGTATGGATGTCAAGGAAAAATTCTATATCTCTTTTCAAGGAATAGGGCCTCCTTTTATACACCATGGGGGAGAGGGGAGGAGCCTCTAGCCATCAAGGCTGGCAACTAATGCTAGCAAAACTGTCCAATCAATTTTGTAAAACTAATGAGCCTTAAATGTGTGAGTTATATACACATTTATGAGGCAATTTCTTTTTCAACCATTTTTCTCCAGCAATCCCCCACATGAATAAAAATTGACCGAATACAGCAAACGCCCAACGTTTATCAACAAAGACTCGGAAAGAGAGAGAGCACATAGACTAACCCTGCATCAGAAAAGGTAGTTGTTGGCCTTGAACCTTTCGTAGTGAAAGCCTATCGAATTTACTGGCTGATCAGTGAACGTGATGTCTTGAACTGTTCTGCCGTTTATGTAAACCGAGACAATAGACCTCACATAGGAGTTAGTCCAACTATTGTTCTTGTTCTCATGGGTGTGTCCAGTATGGCCCTGGAACACTAGCCTGGTTCTGTGAGTCGTTACACGAAGTTAGGTTGTCCCTTTGAACCTGGATCTTGGGATCTCCAGTCAACTAGGTTGGGTTTTCCGTTCCAGTAACCTTTACTAAAGGCCTTAACCCCATTCCTCTTGACGACTTTTCTACTAACTCTCTAGTTAACCCTTTGGTTAGCGGATCCGCAATGTTGTCCTTAGACTTGACATAGTCTAGAGAGACAACTCCATTTGAGAGTAGTTGTCGTATGGAATTATATCTACGACGACTTTCCATTATACATATTACTCTGTGCCCGACCAATCGCTGATTGGCTATCGCAATGAATACTGATAGCTGGCACAGGTTTCGGCCAACGTGGAATATCCTCAACAAACTGGCGAAGCCATTTAGCTTCTTCAGTTGCTTTATCTAAAGTAATAAACTCAGATTCCATCGTTAATCTCGAGATATACGTTTGCTTGGCAGATTTCCAAGACACAGCTGTCCCTCCGAGGGTAAACACATAACCACTAGTAGATTTGGAATCTTTTATATCAGATATCCAATTTGCGTCACTATACCCTTCTAGTACTGCTGGGTATCTGGTATAATGCAGCCCATAATCCAGGATGTAACGGATATACCCCAACACCCGCATAATGCCCTTCCAATGAGTAGCATTAGGATTACTCGTGTATCTACTCAGCCTACTAACAGCGTAGGCGATATCCGGCGTTGCACAACTCATCAGATACATCAAACTCCCAATGACCCGAGAATATTCTAGTTGAGAGACACTCTCACCATCATTCTTGGTCAAATATAGACTTAAGTCTACCGGTGTCCCAAACATACTTGTATCTGACTTTTCAAATTTCTCAAGTATCTTATTAACATAATGAGCTTGAGAAAGTATAATACCACCAGATGTTCTGGTGATCTTAACACCCAGAATGACATCTGCAAGGCCCATATCCTTCATGTCAAACTTAGAGTTTAACAATCTTTTGGTAACTTTAATCATTTCCTCATTGCTACCAACAATGAGTATGTCATCAACGTATAGTCACAAAATGACATAACCTTTGTCAGTATCTTTAACATATACGCACTTATCACACTCATTGATTCGAAACCCATTTGACAACATAGCATTGTCAAACTTCTCATGCCATTGTTTGGGAGCTTGCTTCAAACCATACAATAACTTGACAAGCTTACAGACTTTCTTACTTTTTCCTGAAGCTGAAAACCCCTCGGGTTGCTCCAAGTAGATTTCTTTATCTAAATCTCCATTTAAGAAAGCCGTCTTTACATCTATCTGATGTATTTCTAAACCACATAAAGCTACTATTGCAATCACCATGCGAATGGATGTAATCCTTGTCACAGGTGAATACGCATCAAAGTAATCCAGGCCTTCTCGCTGTATGTATCCTTTGATAACTAGCCGAGCTTTATATTTGCCAATTGACCCATCCGCTTTCATCTTTCTTCGAAAGATCCACTTACTCCCCAAGGCCTTACTGCCGGGGGGTAGATCAACCAACTCCCAAGTATGGTTCTGTAAGATGGAGTCAATCTCACTCTTAATTGCTTCTTTCCATAAAGGACTTTCAGGTGAAGTCACAGCTTCATGGAACGTTCGAGGTTCTCCCTCTAACATATAAGTCAAGAAGTCTGGACCAAAAGACTTTGTGGTTCTAGCCTTTTTACTCCTTCTTGGCTCATCTACTTCATCAGCTTGATCATCTACTTGATCAGTTATTTGATCAGCTGTTTGATCATCCATGTGATCGTCTTCGTGATCATCTATTTCTTTCATGGAACTCAAAATCCTGTCTTGGGGACGACACGGAAATACATCTTCAAAGAAAGATGCACTTCTAGATTCCATGATAGTATTCTTGTGTATATCTGAAATAGTAGACTTGTGCACAAGAAATCTATATGCACTACTATTTTGTGCATAACCAATGAAAATACAGTTCATGATTTTCGGACCTATCCTAACCCTCTTGGGTGTAGGTACTGCGACTTTTGCAAGACACCCCCACATTCGTAGGTATTTATATGAAGGCTTGTGACCTTTCCACAACTCATATGGAGTCTTGTCCACTTTCTTCCATGGTATTCTATTAAGAATATAATTCGCAGAGAGAATTGCTTCCCCCCATAAGTTCTGTGGCAACCCAAAACTTATCAACATTGCATTCATCATCTCTTTCAGCGTCCTGTTCTTCCGCTCAGCAACACCATTTGACTGAGGTGAATAAGGTGCTGTGGTTTGGTGAATAATCCCAAATTGAGCACAAGTCTTGGCAAACGGGGATTCATACTCACCACCACGATCACTTCTCAATGCCTTGATTTTTCGACTTAATTGATTCTCAACTTCATTCTTAAAAAGAATAAATTTATCAATAGCCTCGTCTTTGCTTTTAAGCAAATACACATAACAGTATTTAGTGCAATCATCAACAAAAGTGATGAAGTACTTGTTGCCACCACGTGATTGTACAACTTTCAAGTCACACACATCACTATGGACTAAACCCAAAGGCTGGGTACTTCTTTCAATAGAATGAAAAGAAGACCTTGTCAATTTTGCTTCTACACAAGTTTTACACTTGTGCTGTGGATTAATCTTGAAAGATGGTATGTGATCTAACTTGATTAATCTACGTAAAGAGTCAAAATTTACATGACCCAATCTACCATGCCATAAATTAGGGGACTCAAGCATATAAGCAGAAGAAGAAGCTTTCTCATTAATCTTAGGGATAAGTGTCATTACATTCAATTTAAACATGCCACCTGACATATATCCCTTCCCCACATAGACCCCGCCCTTGGTCAACACGACCTTGTCTGATTCAAACACCATGCGGAAGCCATGTTTGCTTAGGAGAGACCTTGAGACAAGGGTCTTACGAATGTCCGGCACAAAAAGGACATCGTTCAAAGTCAGTTTTTTTTCCTGAAGTCATCTTCAGGATCACCTTGCCTTTACCCTCAATAGCTGAGGTTGCAGAGTTTCCCATAAACAACTTCTCCCCATTTGAAACCGGTTCGAAAGTTGTGAACATTCTCTTCTCTGCACAAATATGGCGAGTGGCCCCAGTGTCCACCCACCACTCCATCGGGTTTGACCCCACCATGTTCACTTCTGACACGACGGCTAATAGATGCATGTCGTCCACATCGTGTGACAATTCCTCCATTTCAGCCATAGGTGCCCGGTTTTTGTGTTAGGGATGGTTTTTCCTGTAGGGCTTTTTCTTCAGACAATCAACTGCTCGATGCCCGTCACTTCCACAGTTGAAGCATTTGCCATCGAACCTAAAAGTAGGCTCCTTTGGCTTGTAGGCTGGCCTTTTGGAGATTCCTCCTCTAGCCCCCAACTTTGAGCTTTTGTCTGTCGGTGGTTTTTTCCTAGCCCCCGAGGACTTGCCATGCTCAACCATGTTGGCTTTGACAGTGGAGGTACTCCCTCCTTTCTTCCTGTTGTCCTCTTCAATCCAGAGCCTGACAACGAGCTCTTCGGCTATCATCTCCTTTCGTTTGTGCTTCAAGTAGTTCTTGAAGTCTTTCCAGTCGTTAGGTAGCTTCTCAATCAAAGTAGCTGCTTGGAATGACTCACTTAAGACCATTCCTTCTGCATGTATCTCATGCAGAATCACTTAGAACTCTTGGACTTGACTCAGGACAGTTTTAGAGTCCACCATCTTGAAGTCCAGGAACCGGCTGACGTTAAATTTCTTTACCCCATCATCCTCAATCTTGTACTTTTTGTCCAAGGCATCCCACAACTCCTTAGCCGATTTCTTGGAATAGAACACGTTGAAAAGCGGATCCGCCAAGCCGTTCTGAATGTAATTCCGGCATAAGAAGTCTGCTTGTTTCCAAGCGTCCAGAGCCATGACCTTTGTTTATCTTGCTCATTCTCCTCTACAGCTGGTACATCTTCACTCAGAAACCTCGCAAGGCTTAGAGTAGTCAAATAAACAGCATCTTCTGTTGCCATCTCTTGAAATTCACTCCCATGAACTTCTCCG